TTCCACCACAACTTTTCTTACTTTCCGAGATTATTATAATATGCATGAATTCTTTTGCAAACATTTGAAGTTTAGTTAGCTTATCAGGTGGTTCTGTGTTGGTTGGATTTTAGTTGGATATCATGGACAGAGGTACTGATGCGCGGAATCTGTTGCTAGGAAAAGTTATTCCCCTCCGACTTGGTTATGTGGGTGTTGTGAATCGTTGTCAAGAGGTAATGATGTTATCCTCACAAGTCATTGCTAATGAATATGCGCTTGTGAATTGGTTGATTAGCCTGCAGTTCCACATGCAATGCTGAAATTTAGTTTTTTTGTTTTCATCTCAAATTAGGATATATTAATGAACCGAAGTATAAAGGATGCTCTTGTTGCTGAAGAGAATTTTTCCCGCAGTCGTCCTGTAAGGAATTACCTTTACTTTATAGTATTCAATGTGTCACGTCTATATACTGATTTAATTCATGCTATTCAAGATATACAATGGCCTAGCAGATAGTTGTGGTGTTCCTCAATTGGCAAAAAAGTTGAACAAGGTAAAGAATTGGCAATGCTGAAAACACTAATTAGCTTTCATTATTAATTTTACTTGTCTCAAATGCTGCCTTAATTGCATCTTCTGCTACCTTATATATTTAAAAGAGCTCAATTCTTAGAAATTCCTTGAAAGTTCTAATTATTACTAATTCTTAGGATTTCATAGCTGAACTTAAGCATGCTATTTGCTTGTATATCTCCTGCAGATTCTTGCGCAACATATGAAGGCCGTATTACCAAGACTGAGAGCACGTATAAGTGCTTCTCTAATCACTCTTGCGAAAGAACATGCAAGCTATGGAGAAATTACTGAGTCCAAGGCATGTGTCCCTATGACATACTTATTTAAATATACTGTTTAACTTGTTTAAAAATGATTAGTTTCTACTTTGGCTGATCATTTACCTACTTCATCTGTTAGCATGACTTTTTTAGTTTTGTTAAATTTCATTATAAGTGTGTATATTTTATAAATATTAAATTTTGTTTATTTATAATATTGTTAAAATATTGATTTGATGTAGGAATCATATGAAAATACTATGATTGAAAAATATGGGGAAGATACATCAAATCATCCTATAGTTGATTCTGATATTTGGATAAAGACTGCTGATGAAAATAAAAAAGGTAGAATTTATGGTATAGGTCAGAGTTTGGATCTTGGTATTTCACATGTTTCATCTTCATCAGTTGACGGTCCCTCTTCCCAAAATCTTACCACACCTCTCACTGAAGAAATCACTACCTTAGCTACACAGATATCTAGTTTGCAAGAGTAGATGAAAACACAGTTGCAGGCACAAACAGATATGCAAGCATTGATGCAAGCACAAATGAAGACACAAGCAGAAATGCAAACACTCATGCAACAACAAATGCAAGAAGAAATGCAGTCTTTCAAGAAAGATATATTATTTACCTTAAAGAAACAACGATGAAAACGTACTTTAAACTTTGTTTCTATTTGTAATTGTGTTATGCAGAACTTTTTAGTTGGAATATTATTTTTGTTATGTTTTAATTGTTTGAAACATCATTTTAACTATGTTTAAACAATACTTTTATATTGAAAGTTGATAAGTTTGTCTTCTTTTTTAAGAATGAGTAATAATTTAAATCTTAAATATTTGATATTATAAATTTTGATAAAAATTATGAGGGATTGGCTATGAAATAGTGAGAAAAACATTGCAAAGGATTAGCTACGGATTAGCGAAGAAATAATTGTGAGGCATTAACCACTAGCTAGAGATAAATTGTTAGGGATTAGCTACAGATTAGTGAGAGAAAAATTGTGAGGGATTAACTACGGATTAACGAGAGAAATATTGCGAGGGATTAGCTACGGATTAGCTAGAGAAAAATTGCGAGGGATTAGCTACGGATTAGCGAGAGAAAAATTGCTAGGGATTAGCTACGGATTAGCGAGAGAGAAATTGCGAGAGATTAGCTACGAATTAGCTACAAGTTTTGGGAGATCAAATTAGTTAGGGATAAACAAAATTTCATCATTTAAATTAGCAAGGGATTTAGCGACAGTTTAGCGACAAAATTTGCTACAAGTTTGAGAGAGAATACTTTTGCATCTAATTAGCTACTTGGATTTAGCTACGGACTATTCCATAGCTATTCCGTAGTTAATCTGTAGCAAAACGTATCAGCGAGAGATTAGCTATAAAATAGCTACGGAATGTCTCATAGCTAATATGTAAAATTCTTGTAGTGTTATTTTCTTAAGATAAATTTATATTTATAGATTAATTAAATGCGATAAATTAATTAGATATATCTTATAAATTTATCTTGTATTTTAAGGCTATCAATAATAATACATGAAATATTAAATAATTATTCATTGATTTTACATATATTTTAATTTTTTTTACTTATTGTTTTAAATTAAAAATTAGACATAAAACTCATAAATCTCTCTATTCTTTTTTTTTACAATAGAAAACTAATAATATTACAATTCATGAATATTTTGGCGAATACAACTTCCATTTTCTCCTAATTTTCTGTATGTTTATTCTATGATTAAATTTTTTAAATTCATTTAGTGTTATTTTTTATCTTAAATTCAATTGAAAAATAATTATTATACATCATTTTTGTTGTTTTTCGTTGATATTTATTTATTTATTTAATTAAAAATGATAAATGGTAAAAAAGGTCTGTGATGTCTGATTTCACTCAACGATTGATATTTTTGAGTATTTACTAAATGATAAAGTTAATTTTCGCTCAAAGAAATTTATTTAACTCAAGTAGCTTTCTTTTATTTTTGGTTCACTAAGAACCTGTTTGCTTAATAATTTTGCATGTAGAAGTGGTATTGATGCAAGTAATAGAAAGTGGTCACAGCTTAATAAAATGAAAAATAAGACTTGTCAAATCTAAATGAAAAATACTTGTGACCATGCACCAAAAGTCTTGGAGCACCTTACTAGTATATATGTATGGACTATTTAACTAGAAAATGTTACACAGTTTACTTGAATTTTTGTAATTATCTGCTTTTGTGCTAACCACTTGTTTACATCAATTGGAAAATATGGCAAGTCTTCTTAGACCTCAAGTAGTCAACAAAGAGACAAATATCTATATGGAAATAAATACATCATTGAAAGCTAAATAATTTGTTTTTTAAGGTTAGATTCAATTGTAGAGTAGAAAATGATTAATACAGATAAATGAAAAGAAAATAATCATTTCTCTTATTTGCTAATAAAGAAAGTTATGAATAGAAAATGTCATTTTTTTTATTACAATGAACATATTTATTTTCTCTTTTTATATGAACAGAAAAAAAAAGTAAAAAAGAAAGAAAGAAACGTGTTATTTTATAAATTTATCCTCAATTATTCATTTTTATGTTTATAATTTTAATTTGTATATACTTTAATTACTATTTTAATAACATATTATAAATATGAATGTAATTATAAAAAAAATTTATATATTTTTTATTTGTTTGTAATATAATATTATTTTATTCATTTAATTTTAAATAAATTTAGAAAACAAAAATAAAAATAATTATAATAAAAGTATTTTATAATCATATATACTTATTTTAAAATATTATTTTCAAAAGCTATTTTATTAATAAAAATTAATGAATAATTATATAGGTAATTTTATAATTAAATAAATATTTAATTTTAATTTAATTATTTATTATTTTTTAAATAACAATTTCCTTTTGTTTTATGTGGCTTTCATCTTAATCAAATAATAATATTTTTCATTTTATTTCATTTTTTTTCATACTTTCTTTTTTATCATATCCTAAGAAATGAGTCACGAAGAGACAAATATTTAACATTGAAAATGTCTACTAGCTTTTTGACATATATTAACGAATGGGGATTATATTTCAATTTTTTTCTTAAATACTTAATTTCAAAAATATATTCTTTCATATTCAAGATAATATTTATTTGAAATAAGTACAGTTTTAGTCCCTATATATTTTTTAAAATATATTTTTATTTCTTATTTTTAAATTAATTAATTCAATCCTCAATTTTTTTTTTTTAAATATAAGCTGTCCTCCCTTATTGAGGATATTTTTAGTTTTCTTTATACGACCAAAATGTTGTAAAATATTCTAAATTGTTGATAAGGATCTAACTATTGAAGTATTTTTGTAAGGTGTGTGTTTTGTTTTTCAAATTAGTGTGAAGATATTAAATAGAGTGTGTTAATAATATGCATACCTTTGAAATTATAGAGAGGACTTGCTATAAGTGTGTCTTTCAAGGTAAGAGAAAGTGGTGAAAGCTTATAATCCATCAACTTTGACTCTTGTGTCCATTTCAGATTCATGTGATTTTGGAAAGTGTTGTCCATGATTTAGAGAGTGCTACCAATTTCTCTTCCACTAATGGACCATGGAAAACATGGTGACAAATGCCAACTATGCTACTTTTTATGTCATATTTCTCCAACCAATTCATCCGTCTTATCCCTTCCGTCAATCTGCTGCATTATGCGTGGGAGACGATCTCAGATTTCCAATACGTCTTCTTGGTATTGCAGACGTAAACAATATTTTTGACCCATAAAAAAAATAAGAATTATATATATATATATATATATATATATATATATATATATATATATATATAAATAAAAAATTTATGAAAAAAAGGAAAAAAAATTCATATTTATAATAAATAAGTCTATTTCAATAAATAAATAGATACATATTTTATTTAAATATTTTTTTAGAATATTATTTATAAGATTGATTTAAAAGAAAAAACATTATAAATCACTGGATTTAGGTTATAAATGACATTCTACCTCGGGAATAAATTAATTTGAGCTTAAGAAAACCAAACTTAAGCTAGTATGATGAACCCTTCTCCCATTAATTACTAAATGCTAATTTCATTTGATTAATCTGAGAAGCGACAGAGCAATTAGTGTGGTTCCCTTTTCGTTTTGGGAAAATGTGGAAGCTGAAGATCGCGGAGGGAGAGACTCCATGGCTTCGGACACTCAACAATCATTGTGGAAGACAGGTCTGGGAGTTCGATCCTACGCTTCAATCACCGCAAAAACTCCTCCAAATCGAAGAGGCTCGCCACAATTTCTCCCAGAATCGCTTCACTCAGAAACAGAGCTCCGATTTACTTATGCGCATGCAGGTTTCTTCTCTCATGAATCTTCTATTTAAAGAGGAGGAATCTATACTCCAAAATAACGCAGAGTTCTATAGTTATTTCTTAAAAACACGAACAAGATTGTTCTAGTAAAATCTCCCTGAAATTGATCTAGTTGAATAATATTTCATCGTTGGTATAAAAAAATGTAGTTTGCGGAAGAGAATCCGATGCATGAAATCTTACCCAAAGTCGAAGTGCAAGACGCGGGAGATGTAACCGAAGAGGTTGTGACTAGAACGTTAAGAAGAGCAACGAGTTTCCTTTCAACTCTTCAGAGTGACGATGGACACTGGCCAGGTGATTACGGAGGTCCCATGTTTATGATTCCTTCCTTGGTGAGCTATGGCTTTCGCTTTGTTTGTGTCTTCCTTTCAGATTCAGTTCATAAGCATGTTCATTATGACTGGAGTGTTTGCTTAATAGGTAATTGCTCTGTATATCAGTGGAGCACTGAATTCAGTCTTAACAGAAGAACATAGAAAGGAAATTAGGCGTTTCATCTATAATCATCAAGTGAGAACTTCACACCCTCCTTCCCTGAAAGCTACATGCTTATTCAAAGTGTAATTGGTTAAAATTGTAACTGCAGAACGAGGATGGTGGGTGGGGTTTGCATATTGAAGGTTCAAGCACAATGTTTGGGTCTGTTTTGAGTTATGTTGTTCTGAGATTGCTTGGTGAAGGAGGCAGTGGTGGAAAAGGGAAAATGGAGAAGGCACTTGTGTGGATCCGAAAGCATGGTGGGGCTACTTTTATCACATCGTGGGGGAAGACGTGGCTTTCAGTTAGTACACTGCCCTTAATTTTAAAGTATATATGTTTATTTATTTTCTAATATTATTGTGGGAAGTGTAGGTACTTGGAGTTTATGAATGGTCAGGAAATAATCCCATGCCCCCTGAGACATGGCTCCTTCCATATATGCTTCCATTTCATCCAGGTTAGGCCTTACTTTATATAGTGTTAAATTATATGGATTTTTTTTATATAATTAACTTTTTAAAAATATTATTTTATTTTCTCTTTTATTCTTTAAATATATTTACTTTTTTTATATATTTTTTTACTGTTTTTAAAATCTATAAATCATAATAATTATTTTTTTTTAAATTATTTTTTTCTCTCCGATGACACAAAAGACTAGTTGCAAAAGGAGTTATTTTTATTCTCAAGATTTATTATTACGGATCTTTAACACATATATTTAGCATAAAATTTATTATTCTCACAATCTTGCATTAGAAGAAATATGAAGATTTCAAACGTAAAGATCCAGTCCTTGAACAAGAACTCTTAAGATGTGCAAAATAATAATAAAAATATATTTTAAAAATTTTATGTCGAAATTTTTAAAGTTAATTAAGATCTCAATTGAAATCTACCATTAAATAAAAAGTTGAATATAATCTTCTTTTTTATGCGACATTAAAGGACCTACCAAAAAATAATGTAAGATCTCAAAATGGGATTTATCATTAAAAATATCCTTATATATACTAATGAAAATACATGTGTTAAAGCCTCGTGTCCAATTTTTTGTATAATTTTTTTTTAATATTATTTATTATTTTATTTTATTTTCTTTCTCATTATTTAAATATATCTACTTTTTTCTCTTTCTCATATTTTTACTATTTTTTAAATATATAATTTATAATAATTATATATATATATATATATATATATATATATATATTAACTATAATACTTTTTTTTAATCTGATGACATCAAAAGAATGATTAAGAAAAATCTTTATATATATATATATATATATATATATATATATATATATATATATATATATATATATATATATATTATTTTAGCTTGTTAAGGTGAAATAAAATAATTTAGGTTGAAAAATGGATAATTATTTTATAACATAAAATTAATTTATATATAAATAAAAATAAAAATAGAAAAATTATATGAAAGGGCTTTTGTAAATTAATGTTTAATTTTAACTTTATGTTTATTTCAATTTTTTAAATTTTTTTATAAGTATTTATGATGAAAAACGTAGAAACATACTTATAATAATAAGTAATAGTTTGTTTAGAGAATCTTTTAAATTTTAAAGAAAAAATTAAGAATGTAAAATATATCAAGTGTTTTGTGTATCGTAATTTTTACGAAAGATAAATGGGAGAAATGATTTACATAAAGGTAAGTCTATAAATTAATTCAAGTTTATAAAATATACCTAAGTTTATTTTAGTTTCATTCTTTTTACAAATACTTTTCAAAAAAAAAATGTTACTATTAAAAATTTTGGCTATTAAATTATGAAGGATAATTTAGAAAAATTAATATTTTCGTGTGATATTCATCAATGGAATACTAAGAAATTATATAAATAATATAATTCTACCTTCTACTCTTTTGAAATATGATTTTCTTATATATATATAATTTTATTTTTTACGGGTCTGAATCTAAGCTGGAGTTCATATTCTTGATCTTTGACTTCCTTGTTGAACTGGTTGTTTATGTTTAAAAAATAATTCTTTATTTGAAACAAAAAATGAAGAGATGGAAATTTATCATATGTGTTGACAGGCAGGATGTGGAATCACTGCCGGATGGTATATTTGCCAATGTCGTATTTATATGCGAAGAGGTTTGTTGGTCCAATCACACCTGTCATTTTATCTTTGAGAAAAGAACTTTACACCATACCATATCGACATATAAACTGGGATCAAGCTCGTAATTTGTGTGCAAAGGTTAGTCAAACCTCTTAATCATCTTATCATTTGGATTTTATCATTTGTCTCTCTTCTATTCTATATGTTCTTTCATGTTCCTTTAATTGATTTAGGTTATCGTTATTATAGTTTCCTTTTTTAGTATTCTTTTGAAACCAGCTCAGTTCAGGAAAAAAGGATTAAGTGAATTGCGAAGAAAATTATAAATTATATATAATAATAATAATAACTAGTTTTTTTAAGAATAAAAAAGAATTAAATTTTAATTGAACATCTGATTCATGTCATTATTATCATTTACATTTACATTTACAGTAAAAATCTCATTTATAAGAGTGATTTGTAAAATTAAATTAGATCTAATACATATTCCAAAATTATAATAAGAGTAATATAAAAATATTGAAATATTTAGTATTGCTCCACATGTAACTATTTTTTTTTTTAAGAAAACCATATGTTTGTTTCCTTTTAAATTGAAAGAAGAACTTGTTCTCGTAATCGATTTTATTACCATTTCACCGTAATCATATCTTATCATCTCTACAATGATGTTTTTTTTTTTTTTTTTAATGATAATATTAGAGCATAGTATTCATTAATTTTTGTAATGACTCTTTTTTATTAAGAATTTTGATTTACCATTTTAGTAAAATCTACTCCCAACAATTCTATTTACAACTAATCAAAATTTTAAATAATTGAAGGATTTAAAGGAATTGATTAAAATTTTCTGTTAGAATAATCAAGTGAATAACATATAATTAAAAATAATAAAAAAATATAAAAATGTGAAAGAACACAAAAATGGGAGGAGAATATAAAATATTTTCTTATTTAATATATTTAGTTATTTGTTTTAATATTTATAAGAAAAAAATGGTAATTAAAATTATAAATATACATGTAAATTATAAAAATTAAGATTAATTATCATATTCAAGGTATTGTGCATTTTTAGAGCTCTCGTCCATTACAACTTGTCCTTAAAAGATATCTTAGTGAGTTGAGAAAAATGATATATATATATATAAATTATCAATGATCTCAACTTCTAAACGATGACGAGACTTATGATCTTATGAAAGATAAAATAATAAAATAGAAGAATAAACCTAATCTTTCGTACTTGAATTTGAATCTAAGATAAATAATGCATAAGTGACACTTGATTTTATAACGTAAGATAAAATTTAAATAGATAGAATTCAATTTCATACACATGAAAAACTACTCTATTAATATTGGTAATTCAAAGTAAATGGGAATGAAAGTTACTTCCTATTTATAGAAAGTGGTGTGGTACTTGGAGGAAAATAAGAGATATATGGTTTTTCCAAATGTAAAATTCAAATCCCCTTAAGAGATATGTTGGTAATCCTATATACACATGTTACATGTGTAACATATTTAATATGTACTTAGGCTTTTTCTCATATGTGCTTCCAAACTCGTGTAATGTGAATATGAATGTGACCAAAAAAAATTATTAAGAATTTGGCAAAATACTGCTAAAAGATAAAATTACAATGAAATACAAAACAAAGAAACTAATTATTGATTCTTCATTATAAATCTTTTGGAGGTGAGAGACACTATAATTTTTTTAAATTTTTGTAACTTATATGTAAATTAATGATTTTGATCCTATTTTCAAATTTAATTATGATTAAATATATTTATTTATATATTTATAATTTTAATATTTTATTTAATTTTTTTATAAATATTAAATAAATTTATTAAATACATTAAATAAGAAAAAAATTTATATTTTTCCACTTTTTCATATTATTTTATATTTTTATATTTATTTATTATTTATTAACAATATATTATTTATTTTCTTTTGATCACTTGAATTTGTTCCTGTCGAATTTTCATCATTAAGCCTATTCTTTATTACATATGGAAACTAATTTTGATTATCATCTTTGTCAATAGCCTCTAATAAATTATTTATAAATATAGGATCGTGATTAACTTTTTGAAAATTTTGATTAAATAAGAATTTCCTCAAAAGAGTTGTAAGACTGGTTTAATATTATCAATAAATATTTTATTATAAATTTATAAACTTAAAATTAGAAAAAAAATTACTTAAAATTAAAAAAATATATTTATATAAATAATTTTAATACATTTTTAAATAATTCAAGTGTGAAATCGATAATAAATGTATTTTTTTATTCGAAAAGATACCCAATATATTATGTTAACAGTGTTTCACTTCCATGACTATCAACTTTATAGTTAAGTGATTATTCTTGATGAATATAAAACTGTTTTTGGTATAACCGTGATAACTCTCCTAAAATGTTGATCCTGCTAGCTGAAAACACTGAAAGATTTTACATCTCTAGAAGAATAAAAGTTAGAATATGACTTTTTTTTTTTAATATTCGACAAATATTGCTCTGATATATATACATTTGTTTTTATGCAGGAAGACTTGTACTACCCTCACTCACTTGTGCAGGATATTCTCTGGGCTACCCTACACAACATCCTTGAGCCTATTTTGATGCATTTTCCAGGCAATAAGTTGAGAGAAAAGGCTCTTAGGAATGTAATGGAGCGTATACACTATGAAGATGAGACTACTCGTTATATTTGCTTAGGTCCTGTAAACAAGGTAATTGTTGAGTGTGGGCAAGAATCCATGCTTTGTTCTTATACTTTCCACCCTTTTCAGTAGGAGTTTCAGAACCTGCAAATTTTACTTTTACTATGTTGATTATATATTTCCATGTTATTCTACTTATGTTTCCATCAAACCAGGAAATGCTTAGCAATACTGATGCTACTTGGTTATTATATTATTCTCAATGGTACTCATTCAGGTGTTAAATATGCTGTGTTGTTGGGTTGAAGATCCAAATTCTGAGTCCTTCAAGTTGCATCTTCCAAGGATTCATGATTATCTATGGATTGCTGAAGATGGCCTCAAAATGAAGGTCATAAGCCAACTGTTTTTCACCTTTCCAAAGTTATCAAGTGATGTTTTTTCTTTTAATTGCACATATTCTATAATTTCTAATTGGTTAGGGATTATATGTACATAGCTGCTCTGTCCCTATAGTGTTTTAAAATAAAAATAATGTTCTAAAATTTACTTATAACTACTGATGTTGACATGGAATTTGGAGATAAAATTCAAATTAATTTTTATGGAAATAAAGAAATTAATATTAAAATTAATATTTTTAAAATTGGACAGGAGAGGTGAAAAATATTAAAGATTTGATGAAATTCAACCAAATTTAATAAAATAATATTTTTATAATATAATAAATTTATTAATAATAATGTTTTATTAAAAAAGATGTTGGAAGTGCTACATCGATTATCTCGTGTCATTTGATATGATTTAAATACATATTAGACTACTCTATATATTACCAATTAATTTTATGTTGGAACCTACAATTTATTATTATAATTACATAATAACGTAGATAATTATTAAAATAAGATAAAAATTAAAATATTATATTTTTTATAAAAAAAAATTGATCTTAATCTTTATTTATTTTTTACTAAATTTTTTTTTGGATTTTATCCTTATTTTTTTTATTTTATCTCCATTTAATTATAATTCAGGTATTTTGAGGTAACAATCTGATTTTTAATTGGTTAAACAGATGGTTCGATGAGATTTTCAAAATACAATTAAAACCAAATCAATAATTAAAAATTAATTGATTTTGAATCTAATTATATATAAATATATAAAAACAATTATCCAAAAGTAAAATATACATGATTTTGTTAAAAACACACACATAAATTAAATAATAGAAAAACTATAAAAAAGTTATATAACTATAATTTATCAGAATTATTAATAAAAAAATACATCGATGATTTAGTTCGAATCTACTAATTTGTAAATTATAAATTCAATATAGAATCCATCCTCTTAAATTTGATTGGTTTAATTCATACTGGATTTCATTAACACAAAAATTAAAACTAATTTAATTAGTTTAGTTTGTAAAATCAGAGGGATTGAATCAGTAAACACTCAATAAAGCGCATTTTGTTGCAGGGATACAATGGATGTCAACTATGGGATACTGCATTCATTGTCCAAGCAATTATTTCAACTAACCTAGCAGAGGAATACGGTCCAACCCTAAGGAAAGCTCATGCATTCATCAAGAATTCGCAGGTAATTCTTAGTTTGCATTTATCATTGTACTTCTGCATTGGTTTATCTTTATTTATCAAAATCTTTTATGTTTTTTCTTCAAAGATTTTGGAAGACTGTCCAGGTGATCCAAATAAATGGTTTCGTCATATTTCAAAAGGTGGTTGGCCTTTTTCCACTGCAGATAATGGATGGATAACTTCTGATTGCACTGCTGAAGCACTAAAAGTAACTAAATGTTTATGATTGTTATTATTTGACAGTTTCTGGTTGAATAAATTTAGGTGGTGGAAACTCTGATGCATCGAATGTTCATAAATGAACTTCAAAATGATAAGAAATGAGAAAACAAAATGAAAAAAGAGTGTTTGCCGGTAAACCTTCATCTTTTTTTCTTCTCGTCATTTTGGAATTCATTGAAACATCCACCACATAAAATTGTTCAACCAGATACTGTGAATTCTTGGTAGGAGAAGTCATTATTAAAAGAAAATAGAGATTGCTGGTTTGGTTCTTCTTTCTTGATTCGCAGTTTCTTTTCTCAGGCTGTTCTCTTGCTGTCCAACATAGCACCAGGGATTGTTGGTGAGGCATTGGATGCAGAGCGATTATACGATGCAGTAAATATCATTCTCTCGTTACAGGTAGCTATAGACTAATTCCAAATAGTTTGAGCGGTTAAAATGTTGAATTTAACTGCAAAACTTCAAATAATTAATGTGATCGATTCTTACATATGTTTGATTGTAATCAAGTTATACAATTTGTTGGGAGAATCAACATGTTTGATTAATTTTTCTTTTTCACGTCATTGCAGAATGAAGATGGCGGTTTTCCGACGTATGAACTCACACGATCTTATAACTGGATGGAGGTAGGTAGCGTTACATTATTACTTATGAAGTTGTTCTGCAACAAATTTGGGTGAAAAATTAAAACTTGTGTCTGTTTTCTCAGATAATGAATCCTTCTGAAACATTTGGAGACATAATTATCGATTATCCGTAAGTTATATGTCTTTGTAAACAATCATGCAGTTCATTGTCAGGCATAATTTCGAGGGTTGATTTGATTAACATGTGTTTATTGTATGGTTTATAGTTACGTGGAATGTACCTCAGCAGCTATTGAAGCTTTGACATTATTTAGGAAATGTTATCCTGGGCATCGTGGACAAGAAATACAAGTCTGTATCGAAAAAGCTGTTGGCTTTCTTCAAAAAATACAAGCTTCAGATGGCTCATGGTTTGAAACTCACCTTGAATTAGTAAAAACTAGCTTGAAACGGTGCATCAAAACAAATGTAACCACTTAAAATGTAAAACAGGTATGGTTCGTGGGGAATTTGCTTCACTTATGGAACATGGTTTGGAGTAAAAGGGTTGGTCTCGGGTGGAAGGAGTTTCAGTAACTGCTCAAACATTCGTAAAGCTTGTGACTTTTTGCTGTCCAAACAACTCCCTTCTGGTGGCTGGGGAGAGAGTTATCTGTCCTGTCAAAACAAGGTTTCTCTCTAATATTAATATCATTTTATGAACACTTGGAATAAAAAAATAGTAAACTTTGTCTTTTAAATTAATTTTGAAAAGTTACTTATTTTTTTAATTCTTTTATATTAATTTATGTTTTATATTTTCTGTGGATTTTCCTTTCTTCTCATTCTCTTTTTTAGAAATATTTAAGAAAAAGCTTACCGAAACAGATTTTAAGTATTTTTACATAATTATACGAGTATAAATATTGTTTATAACAATTTTGTTGAATTATTCATTAAATAGTTTTTAAAACTTATTAGTTATAACCTTTTTAAATTTTAAATTAAATATTAAAAGTGAATTATTTTTAGGGGTGAAAAATTGAGTCAATTCTTTTTTCACAAATTGATCCTAACTTATTTTATAATAAGCTAAAAATTTTACAGTCTGTTTAACCCAGTATGAATTGTGGATTAAGTGAATTGATTTACTAATCCACTACGAATGCAATAAATAAAAAAATGTGGTAGATGCAGTAGATGAATAGAGGTTAGAGACATAATAGAGATAAGCGTACTAGATGGATACAAGAGACGTAGTGATAAATGCAAAAAATGTTATAAATTAAGTAAACTTGTCAGACGAGACGAAACGACACAAATACAATAATTTTGAGTGAAAATGACTTTGTTAATTTGTAGTAATATAAATAGATGAAAATAAATTTTTATTAAATTATTAATTATTTTTAAAATTTAAAATATAAGTTCGATTGTAGATTAACCTATCATAATCGGATGAATTGTGGATGAATCCATCATAAGTGAATTAGGATAAAAAAAAAAATCAAATCTAACCTACTCAAAACTATAATAAATTGGATTAACCTAATTATTTGCTTACTATGTCTTTAGGTATATACAAATCTGGAAGGTAACAAGGGTCATGTAGTAAACACTGGGTGGGCTATGCTGGCTCTCATTTATGCTGGACAGGTATATAAGAATTTTTTTTTAATCTTTTAATGATATCATTGTCTTAATTAATTAATTTATATTATGATGTGTAATTAATAATGAAACAGGGTGAGAGAGATCCCACACCACTGCACAAAGCTGCTGTGTACCTGATAAATTCTCAGATGGAGAATGGTGACTATCCACAACAGGTATACAACTGATTTAGGTTAACGCAACTTTTTAGTGCCTCAAATTATAATGGCTTGGCATTAATTATTATTATTATTATTTCAGTTGTTAAAAATATATTAATGATGGTACCATTTTTTTATGACTTAAGGAAATAATTGGAGTGTTCAACAAGACTTGCATGATCTCATTTGCAGCCTACAGAAACATATTTCCGATATGGGCCTTAGGAGAATACAGACGCCATGTATTGCAAGCCTGTTAGAAGTATTTTGTATTTAATTATTTCTTGTTTTTTTTTTATTGTTCCCTTCCAACGTTGATGATGGTGAATTTGTTATTATTATTAAACATTATTCTGTTTAAGATGGAGAATTTTATCTTATATCTTTGTCATTAATATAAATGATAGATTTTTTTTTATTACTGTTAATGTTGATCGAAGTAGGTCCCTCAAATCTGCAATATCTAAATCTAATATTCTTATATAAGTCTCTTTTTATCTATGTATTCCCTTTTAGTTACGAATAATTTTCGGGTTAGTTATTATCCTATATGCGATTCTCTTTGTAACAGGTGTAATTTTTAAGAAGATTTCTATTATATATCTGAAAGATATTGGTCACACGACAAGATAGAAAACTACATTTTATTATTCTTTTTTATGAAACGTGTTTAAAACAAATAATATGAAATATACTAATTTTATATAAATTTGATCAAATTCATAGATATTTCATTAGTCTTAAAATCATAACACTTTCAAGAATACAATTCAAACATAGTTAAAATTGAATTTCAAATTAGATCATCTAACCTAATGGATAATAAAGATTTAATTAGCTTATGTTAACTAAGGTTCCTTACTCTATAAGAAAACCGTAGATTTAATAAATTGATTCACAAACAAAATACATCATTATGAACAAAGACTATTAATATTCATCTTTTTAATACAAAATTTACGTGTGAAATTCTAATGGGACATTATGATCTACTCTTCATCACCTCCTTGGTCTTATATTTTGATAAGAGAATAATAATAAAAGCAAATTTTTAAATCTAGAGATGGTATAGATTTTTAGAAAAAAAAACAAATAAAAAGAATATTAGATAAATAATGGTTTTTAATAAATAAAAATAAAATACTTAATTTTTCTATTTGTAATTTTTAAAACTTAACTATATTTAAACTTAGACTATTCAACAATTTAAAACCTTTTCGTCATTTCTGCTAGTATTCTTTGGACATAGTATTTCTTAATTAATTTCTAAAGCATATGTAGAGATAAGAGAAGCTTACACACCAATTTTTAAAATTCTTTCTGAATGACGATGTTTTTCATCTTTGGAATTTCTTTTAAGAATTTTTGGATCAAATAATATATTATTAATAAATAATAAATAAATATAAAAAGTAAAAAAAATAAAATTTTAAATATATAAATAAATATATTTATATTAATAAATAAATAAAAAAATAAATAAAAAAAGTAAATAAAATTTTAAATATACAAATAAATATATTTAATAATAATTAAATTTAAAATGACAAAAATCATAAATTCATATAAGCAAATCTCTTTTTAGTCACTTTCTCTTAATAACTTCCAACTTTCAAAAAGTGAGGAATTCATTTTCCCATTTCATTAGTTGCTTCTTACTGTTACTTCAAAAATAATTACTTCAGCTTCAGTCACTCAAAATTTTTATATCCCACTTCATTAGACAAAAAAAATAAAAAAAAATTATTTATTTGCCTTAACGCATTTAATGAAAAAATAAGATACTATTAAAATAAGAATAAAATTGATAATTTGGTTATTAAAAATATGATTAAACACAATTTTTTACAAATATTTGAAAGGAAAAATATATAAAATAAAATTAAAATTTTTATAAATTAAAATTAACTTATACATAAATTATAATTGGTAATATTTCTCTGATATATTGTTTTAAAATATTTTGTTTTTAAATATGTCTCTGTAGAAAAACTCATCTAAATATGTTTATATTTTAAGAAATTACCTAAATAATGGTAAATGTCACACAATCCTTCGCATTACATGACTTCATCTATTTGATAGCTTACAACTTTTCACTGCTTTAATTGTTTCTTAAGGAACCAAAATTTTTGAAGCATTTGAGTGAAGTTGGATTAAGGAAGCATAAAACCCATCCTTGACTCGAACGAGTGTTTCATGGCTTCCCTTCTCTACAATGCCTCCATCTTTCACAACAGCAATCAAATCTGCATTTTTTATTGCAGATAGGCTATGTGCCACCACCACAGTGGTCATATTCACCATGACTTTGTCCAATGCTTCTTGAACAACTCTCTCTGATTCAGCATCTAATGTACTTGTGGCTTCGTCCAATAGCAATATTTTTGGACTTTTAATCATAGCACGGGCAATGGCTACTCTTTGCTTCTGCCCACCAGATAATTGGGTTCCCCTTTCTCCCACTGCAGTGTCATAGCCCTGTGAAATGTGAGAAAGTGTTAACCCAAGTACAATCTGAAAAGTTCACTTAAAAAATACATCAAATTGTTTTCATTGTGAAATTGTTGCTAAATTTAGATATAATATCATAGCTACTTTATGTAATATTGTTCAAGAAAACTTTAAATTTAATTGAAGGATCACACGCATAATACTTATAATACTATTTTACCTGTTGTAATCCACTGATAAACACATGGGCATTAGCTAGTTCTGCTGCTGCTATGATTTCTGCTTCAGTTGCATCACCTCCCTTCCCATAAGCAATGTTGCCACGAATAGTGTCATTGAACAATACTGGCTCTTGGCTTACAAGACCCATTTGCTGTCTAAACCACTTGAGTTGTAGCTCCCCAATTGGTACACCATCAAGTGTGATTTGACCTGAATTGGGATCATAAAATCTCTGCAACAACGCAATCACTGTGGATTTTCCACTTCCACTTTCACCAACAAGGGCTACTGTCTGGAACATCAGTTTTGGTCATAACCATTTGTTACAAGTTACAACATACAAATGCTTTAGTTTCCTTTTGCATTGAAATGATGTTTAAATGTACAACTCAAACTTTACCTTGCCAGAATGGATAACCAAGTTAAGGTCTCGAAATATCTGTATCTTAGGCCTTGATGGGTACTTGAAATTCACATGACGAAACTCAATTTCTCCCTCAACTCTATCCAATGTGGTACCAGACTCATTACTTGGATCTATCTCTGACTTCTTATCAATTATGCTAAATATGGCAGCAGTAGCTGACTTGGCTTTGCCAGAATCTGGAGAAATTGTGCTAAACTGGGAAACTCCAATAGCTGCCATGGTTAAAGCAAAGAAAACCTACAAAACATATAAATCTTCACATTTTCAAGAAGGAAATATATAATCTTGACAACTAACACCAGACCTTTTTTTTTTTTTTTTTGTCATAACGTTAATAATGAAGAAGTTATTTAGTACCCGAAAAACATCTGAGAATGATGCTTCTCCAGAGGCCACTAGTCTAGCTCCTGCATAGAAACTAGTTGCATAGACACAAAACAGTAAGAAAAATGAAACCCCAAATCCTAATCCACTGATCAACCCTTGCCATATCCCTGTTTTCATGGGGTCCTCACATTTCATCCTATACAAGTCCATAACCTTGTCTTCAGCACAGAAAGAAGCTACTGTTCTTATATTTCCAACTGCATCCTTAGCAACTTGGCTTGCTTCTTCGTACATCATCTGTACCAGAATCCATGACTTCAGTCAGAAATTCTAGTAATTTAAACAATGCATGGGAATGAAAAAAAAAAAAAAAACAACAACTTACCTTCGCATCTTTGCTGAACCCCTTCAAGAATTTCGTTTGAACATAGCCATTTGCACCAATAAGGGGAATCAAGACAAGAATAATCAAAGCCAGCTGCCAGCATGCAATGAAAGCAATGATCAAACCTGCCAAGGCACATGTTATATTTTGGACCAACAGCCCCAGTGCATCACCAACAAGGGCGCGCACAGAAGCAGCAATTTCTGAGAGCCTTGCACTAATGGCACCACTTGAGTTGCTAGGCTCATCAAACCAACCAACCTCCATGCTCACCACTTTCTCAAAACATATTACCCTGATACGTTGGATTAACTTGCATCCAGCCACAGAAAAAAAGTATGCTCGAGCTGGAATTACCAACAATGATGCAAGACCAAGGACCACAAACATTAGTGCCCAAAATTTGGAGTCCTTTTTCACCTCATTAACTGGTTCATAAAATGTTTTAACCGCACTGGATATCAACACCCCAAATATGGGAAGTATAACACCATTTGCTATGGCAGCTACACATCCAATCAGAAGAACTGGAAACTCTGGCTTGTTGAGGGAAGCAAGTCGGTGAAGTGAAACCTCTTGTGCTTGATTTTCAAGTAATAAGTCTTCATCTTCAGTAGCAGGGACACTAACTCCTGTGGGTAAACCATTGGAAAGAGAAAATGAGTGGCTGCTACTACCCCCCGATGATGATCCCCTGCTAATGGATCTCCTAAGTGATCTCTTTTTAGTTAACTGTGTAGAGGGTTCTGTAGAAAGTTCACTCTTGCTGTGATAGCTTGTAGTTTCTTCTGATTCCTTGTTTACTTCTTGTAAACGTATCAATTGAGAGTAAGCTCCCTCGAGATCCTTGAGTAGTTCCGAGTGTCTTCCTAATTAGCAAACACTTGAAAGTTATATATACAAACAAAATTTTGACCATTTGGATTCTACTCAAATGCTAATAACACTCTTGATAATATTATTATTAGTAAAATTTTATTGAAAATTACAAAAATGAAAATAATTAATCATCTTTTCATATGATGAAAGGTTGAATCAGGAAAGAAATTAACCATCTTTTTGGATAAACATGTGTGGTACCTTTTTCAACCACCTTCCCTCTATGAATTACAACAATCATATCAGCATTCCTTACTGTGCTCAACCGATGCGCCACAACAACAGTGGTTCGGTTAACCATTACCCTGTCTAGAGCCTCTTGCACTGTCCTTTCAGACTCTGCATCAAGGGCACTAGTAGCTTCGTCCAGAAGTAGAATTCTTGGATCCTTTAAGATTGCTCTTGCTATGGCAATGCGCTGTTTCTGTCCACCAGAGAGTTGAGTTCCTTGTTCACCAACCATTGTGTTCAATCCCTGCAAGCGTGTCAAGGTAAAAGTCTAAAAGTTTCTAACAATTTCTAAGAATAAAATTAGAAATCCATCTGTGGCTAGAATGTAGAACCTGTGGCAGTTTGTCAATGAATTTAGTAGCATTTGCAAGTCCACATGCTGATCTTATCTCTTCAATTGTGGCTCCCTCCTTTCCATATGCAATGTTATCTTTAATGCTTGATGCAAACAACACTGGCTCCTGGTTAACAAGGCCAATTTTCCCCCTCATCCACCTAAGCTGAAACTCTTTCAGATTAATGCCATCAATAAGAACTTCACCTGCCTGAGGATCATAGAATCTCTCTATCAAACTGATAACCGTAGATTTTCCACTCCCACTTTGTCCCACTAGTGCAGCACTTGTACCACTAGGTATATCAAGAGAGAAACCATTGAATATCAACTCCTCAGGCCTCGTTGGATAACTGAAACAAACATCCCTCAACTCTATTTCACCTTCAATATCTTCCAATATTTTCCCATTTGGATCATAAGCATCTATCACTGGCTTCCTCTCAATTGTTTCAAACATTTTGTAAGCTGCAGCTTGACCCGCAGCAAAAGCACTCATGATAGGGGATGCCTCCCCAAGAGACCTAAGATATGAAAAATAAGAGAACGAGTTATATGAATTAAGTTAGTTCATAAACATATTGAGATGAAGCTTACTTACATTGAAGCAGTTAAAAAAGAAGCAATCACATTAAGCACCGTGCCCCCATTATATTTCTCTTCATTTTCCATTATCATCTTTGCGCCAAACCACACTGCCAAAGCATAACCACTAAAAACAAGAAGCATAACTGTGCCAAGGGCCACCCCAGCAACAGAACCTTCATGAACTCCTGTTACGTAAGCTTCTACAAGAAATTTGCTGTAGTTAGACACTGCCTGTTTTTCCCCTGTAAATGATGCAACCTGAAAATTAACACAGGAAAGTAAGTATGATTAGTATTACTATAACCTGCTTGGAGAAGTTGCTTCATAGGACTTACAGATTTATAGTATTGCAAGTTCAAACAATGACATTAACTTAAACCATTTTAATTTAACTAATCACATATTGAACGGATATGCTCCTACACAGTCAATTTTACTTTATTTTTGGATCAGAAATGAAAAGATATTTAATTAAAAACGTTGTACCATAAGAGACAAGCTACAACATGATATCCATACTTCAGCTACAATATGTTCTGTTATATAGCAAGTATTTCAGTTACTTTGCTGCAATATATCAGAAACAAAACAGAACCCATTACCATAATTCCTATATATTGCACTTCTGCAGAGGATCACAAAAACCAAGTTATGGGATCTGGCACTGAGGACCAAAGGTGGGTGAGTAAGGAACACTATCTAGCATATGATATTATTATCTTTAGTAACCTTACATTACCATTTCAATGTTGCAAGAAGAAGAAGAAAGAGAAATTTATTGGTCCAACCGTTTTTTGGATTGCTTTTACTCTCTATTTACTTTCATGTACGATTTGACATATACTTTACTCTTCGATATACGAAGAATATAATGAATATATATATATATATATATATATATATATATATATATATATATATATATATATATATATATATATATATATATATATATATATATATATATATAAAGAATATTTCTTTGCTAAAAAAATAACTTAGATGCGTTTTTATTCCTCATAACTTAATAAACTTTATTGACAGTTCCTAATATTTTTTTCTTTAATCTTACCGTCCCTAATAATTATTTTATTTTATTTTTCCCCCCAATTTAAACAGTGGTTTGAACTTCTATTTAAAGTATTTTAAATAAAGTTAAAAATAAAATACAAATTTATTAGATTGAAAAAGGTTTTAAAAAATTAGTAAAAAATCAATAATTTATCATAAACAAAAATATTTAACCAAAACAAATTTAGACAACTTTAAAAAGATTTAGACTAACATCTACACTTTTTCCCGACATGACTTATATATAAATGCAAGTCAAATATCATAAAATAGAAGAATACTTTTAAAATTTATAAAGAGCGATTAAATATAAAATTAATGATATTTTGAAGATATTTTTAAAATTTATAATAATAAAATAAATAAATAAAACTGGATCACAAATATATCTTATCGAATATTTATAAAGGAATAAATATTAAGCATTATATATAAACAGGATTATAAGTAATAGAATTTTTAACTTAAAATCTTTACAAGACTCTTTAACTTGAAATGTTCATAAATGATAAAATATTTAAGTTAAAATATTAAGATATTATATTTATTGATGTTTAAAATCTTGAGATATTATATTAATTGATTTTTTATTATATAATTAAATCTTAGGGTTTATATTTAGTAATACTATATTTATTAAATTTTATATTAATTAGAAATATTATAATATAAGTGAGATAAAAAACTTATTTTTATTAAACTGGTTTTTTACTCGTAAACTTGAATGATGTTTTATTTATATAAATATCTTATTATTCCAGGAGTTATCATGAATTATTAAAATAAAAAACAAAATATGTATTTATATTTTATCTAATAAATACATCAATTTTAAAAATTGGATCTATCTATAACGATAAAAATTTCATGAAAATTGGATCTTCGTTTATTTTTAGACTTATATCTACTCAAAATAAATATATCTAGTTATACAAATTTAAAAATTTATATCTAATTAACTGCATGATAATATTATAATATGTTAAATTAATTTGATAATATTAAATTAAGTATTTCTTAATTTTGATTTAATAATATATTATTGAAGTCAACCCGAAACAGGGAGGAATGTTAAAAACTTACTGTTCTTATGGATGCAATTGTCTGGTGAAGTACGTGTGCAGCTTTTGCATAGGCAGCTTGACCTCTGGAAGCCATCCTTCCCTGGATGATGGCCATGGCAGCTCCTGACAAAACAAGGAGTGGAAGCATGCACAGCATCACAACTGTAAGAAGCCACCCTTTCGCAAATGCTATCGCAAAGCCCCCTATGAACGTTGCTATCAGCTGCACAAACTTCCCAACCTGTTTCAAAACTTTTCGATCATGCCACATCTTCAAACATCATCATAAACCAGAAAACACTCTAAATGAAAACATGCCACCTTCTCTCCCATGGCGTCTTGAATGAGAACAGTATCACCTGATATTCTCCCTATCACTTCCCCAGTGTTTGTCTCCTTGTCAAAGAAAACAATGTCTTGTCTTAGGATACTTTTCAAATACAATCCCCTAATCCTCGCCGCCTGTCTCTCCCCTGTCACCATCCAGCAAGTCACCTCTGAAAAATTAAACCATTCTTTGAGTGGTTATATCTACAGACTAAGATTTGTTAGGGAAGAGAAACTAGTTTGAATGTTAATAATACTTGAAGTTAGATAATCTAAACGAGTTTCATGGTTGAATATTGATAATTGGTCTTCATTGAAATTTTCATTTAGACTCAGATGTTGATATTGATTTAGTTATAATTTCAATAATTTCAAGATGAATATCACTTAAGATAATCACCATTGTTGGACAGATTGAAGTTCCAGTGGATAGAAAATGGTTAGAAATATAAATAAAAATAACTTAAATACATACGGAGAAAAGCTGCGATCCCAGATCCTACTGCCAGGTACACAAATTTAAGGGAAACCTGAAATTTTAACACAATCAAACCATGACAATAGCAGAGTGTTTTTGGTTCAAGTTTCTTAGGAAATGTTTTTCATTGGTACTTTTTAAAGGAAAAAAAAATTGTCCAATGGTAACTGAATAATGCAACAAAAAAGGGGTTTGGTGTTATTAGTTCATGAATTTTTTCACCTGGGACACTTTTTCAACTATGTTGGGGCTGTTCTGGTTACCACCAAAGGTGTCAATTATTTCACCAAACAGTAATGTCATAAGAGGAAACCCCAAACCATTTCCAATGCCACCAAAGCTTCCAACCACCATCAACACAATGTCTGCGCCGTCGGCAAAAGCAAACAGCTTGTGAAACGCCACCGTCTCCGCCTTCCCCTTTTGCTTGCTCTGTTCTTCACTTTCTTCAGGGCATCCTTTGTCATCCATGTCAGGATCAGTGATCCTGTGTAACACAAAACTAAAGTAACATTATATCCAAAACAACACCCATCCATGGACCCAAGTAAATGCTTCTAACTGTGTAAAATTATCTACAAACACATAATTCACATCTATTGTCTGTAAGAGGAAAGAGTATCATTATGAACAAACTTGTGTACCAAAATGCAAACTAGAGTGAAGCAGAGAGAGAGAAACTTGTTGATGAGATGGATTTTTCCAATTAGAAAATGAAGAGTGGAATAAAAAATAAATAAATAATGGGTTGCTGAAAATGGAAGAAAGACTTCAACTTTGAGTGTCTTGATCTAACAAGATGATTTTAGACTTAACTGAAATCTTAACTTTTATATTCTACAAAATTAATAATTTATTATTTAATTTGATTTTAATTTTTTAATTAATTGTTCATAATTTTATTTAGATTTTAGTTTTGAAAGTTTATTGAACAACTATTAAATTATATTTATTGATAGATTATTACAGTTGCAATCTTTACATATAAAAAAAATTGTTGATAAAAAGACGCTGAATTTTTTGTTATAATTTTACGATCAATTTTTCTTTTAATTTATAATTATAAAAATTTATTTTACATAGTTATAATTTTTATAATAATAACAAATATTAAATTATATTTAAATATTTTATGAAAATAACATTGTATTAACTAATGTAAATATAATAAAAAAAATACTTAAACTTTGAACAACATTAGAAAATATACGATTAAAGTTAATTAAAAGTTATTCAAAATAAATTTATGGATAACGAAAATATAAAATAATAAAAAATTACAATAAAGCCAAAAGTTTATATTGATATATACTTGATTTGTGTTTTTAAATTGTTGGGTTCCATGGAATAATTTTTGTTTATTGATATATACTTGATACTTGTTTTTAACTTGTTGGGTTCCACGGATTTTTTTTATTTTTATTTTCTACTGTGTTTGCGTGTTCTGTAAAAAAGAATTTACTGTTTAGAAGCCTTCAATCATATATCCAAACACAGTCTTACTGTAAAGTCTGTTGATTTTCTTTTTTATACGTATGTGTGTTTGTATATATATATATATATATATATATATATATATATATATATATATATATATATATATATATATATAATAATAATAATAATTTTAAATATATTTATTAATAAATATTTTTATTAGATAAATTAGAAAATTTATTTTATTTATATGATAAAATATTTACTTATAATTAGATTAGTATTGATGATTTAAATTATAATATTTTCTAAGTTTAATTATATAAAATCTTTTCTAAGGTTAAAAAGTTTTTATTTATACAATCTTCCTATTCATTTTAATTAGAAGGGTAACTAAGGGGATCCAGAAGGCCATACCCTCCTTCCCAAATTCATCTTTTCATTTATATATATATATATATATTGATAAAAAAATTAAAATTAAATAAAATTTATTTTTTAAATATAAATAAAAATTAATTTTTTATTTTACTCTTTATATTATTTTTCTTATAAAATTTATAATAAATATCATTTTAATTCTTTCATATAAGTTTTTATTTATATTTTTTTCTATCTAGGTTTATCTTTTTTTCTCTCCTAACTATTTTTCTTCACTTTAACTTATTTTTATCATATATTTTACTATTTTTTTACTTGGGTATTTCTAGCTTTTTTCTTTATTTTATTTTTTTCACAAATCTATTTTACAATATAAAAAGTTAAAAAAGATTCTTTAATTTTTTACATATTTTTTCCTTTACGATTTTATCCCTAGCATAAAAGTTGGTTTTTCTCTTTCACTTATTCTTAAACATGAAATACTAGAAACAAAAAACAAGAAATTAAAAAAATAAAGATGATATTTTTTTTGAAATGAGGAATTAAAGTAAGTAAATTTATTTATTTTTATTGTTTATTCTCTATTATAATATATTAACATGTGTAAATATGAAATACTAATGTGTAAATATATATGATATGCAATATTGATGTGAAAATGTGTAAAAAAAATATTTCAGATTGATATGTAAAGATGTTTAATGAAAAAAGAAGAGAAAAATAAAGATAATACATGATAAAATAAATTTAAATTTACTAAATTTAAATTTAATAAGTAATGATAAAAATATTATTAAATACCTAGATACAAATAAGCGTGTAAATATTAAAAATAATTAAAACGTGTTTGATTTTATATATTTATTAGTTTTAAATATATGTAAATGAGATTAGTGCATAAGTGTTGTATAGTGTGAGTAGAACTCTGGTATAAATTATATGGTTTCACTTGGAAAGACTTTACATAAATCTTATAGATGCAAAAGAAGAAGAAGAAAAATTATGTTGAAAATTTGCATCTGATCCAGTTCCACCATCGTTTTCACTTTTACAAGGATGGAGGGAAAATTCAAACCCACTTATCTTTGGATAAGATTTTCCAAGAGGGATGAATGAGGACTTTTTTTCATAAATAATATTATTTTTAAAAATATTTCCCAAAATAGTACATTTGGAACATTATTTACACAACTAGTACTTTTTACTGTTCACGTATTAAAATAATCAATTATTTTATATTATGATAGATTATTTCGCGCAATCAACTCTCGCTCAAGCGAAGAAACCCTTCGCTTGAGCGAGGAAATCTGTAACAAAGGGGTAATCTCGGGACAATTCTCGCTCAAGCGAAGAAACCCTTCGCTTGAGTGAGGAAATCTGTAACAAAGGGGTAATCTCCGGTCAATTCTCGCTCAAGCGACGGGTATTTTCGCTTGAGCGAGAAGTGATTAAAATATGTGGTGACCCAAGTTGCGTTATGTGGCTAACTGCGTTGGACATTTAGCCTGTGGTCAATTCTCGCTCAAGCGATGAGTTACTTTGCTCGAGCGAGAATTGATTGGGTAACTGCGTTGGACCGTGGTCAATTCTCGCTCAAGCGAGACATCCATCGCGTGAGCGAAAACATTTATAATCGATTATAATTTGAACTAATCGATCATAATTTTAAAATAATCGAATATACAAAATTATGATCGATTATTTCTCTCTCGCTCAAGCGAAGAAACTTCGCTTAAGCGAGGAGACCTGTAACATATATGTGTCACTTTTAATATCATATATGTGTCACTTTTAAGAGCGGTTAATATTTTAACCGCTCTTAAAAGTGAACATATAATAGCGGTTCCACGTTAACCGCTATCTAAAATATACTTTTAATAGCGGTTAGTTCTAGAACCGCTATCTAAAATCTCGGGGCAATTCTCGCTCAAGCGACGGGTACTTTCACTTGAGCGAGAAGTGATTGAAATATGTGGTGACTCAAGTTGCATTATGTGGTTAACTGCGTTGGACGTTTAGCTTGTGGTCAATTCTCGCTCAAGCTTCCAGATACGCATTCGTGGGGTTCTTTCTCCAATTTCTTGTGGATCAACTTCTTCAACCTTTGTAGAGAAATTCCTCTCTTTAAAGGAACAAGTTTTGCAGTCCCAGTATTGAAGGTAACTCCCTCCATGGGACATGGGTTCATGAAACCATCATAGTGGACAATAGTAGACACTACACCCATTTTAGGAGTGTGGAACACAAAGAAGACTAAAGGTAAGAAGAAGAAATAATGCAAATAGCTTCAGAGATTTAGGAGTGTGCAATGTGAGAACTTCAAAGAATAAAAGTGGTCTATTTATAATGAAGTCCATTGGTTTGAATCCAATGCTCCCTCACATGGTTTCTGACGCACACAAAACCCAAGCAAAGTGGGTGGGTCAACATCTCTTTAAATATGTTTGGATTCTTCTGCTTCTGTCTAACCCAATGCAGGGAATCAAAGATTGGAATCCTAACTTAGATGGGTAACTCAACATTGGATTCTTTACTTGTGTGCATCAGAAAGACATGGGAATCCTGACTTGGGTGGGTGACTCAGCATTGTAAATAGTTGCATGTTTCCTCGCTCAAGTGATGGGCTTCTCGTTTGAGCGAGAATTGACCACAGGCTAAACGTCCAACGCAATTAGCCACATAATGCAACTTGGGTCACCACATATTTCAATCACTTCTCGCTCAAGCGAAAGTACCCGTCGCTTGAGCGATAATTGACCCGAGATTTTAGATAGCGGTTCTAGAACTAACTGCTATTAAAACTATATTTTAGATAGCGGTTAACGTGGAACCACTATTATATGTTCACTTTTAAGAGCGGTTATTTTAACCGCTCTTAAAAGTGAACATATAATAGCGGTTCCACGTTAACCGCTCTTAAAAGTGAACATATAATAGCGGTTCCACGTTAACCGCTATCTAAAATAGCGGTTAACGTGGAACCGCTATTACATGTGTTTTCTGTTGTAGTGGGTTTCTTCGCTTGAGCGAGAGAGAAATAATCGATCATAATTTTGTATATTCGATTATTTTAAAATTATGATCGATTAGTTCAAATTATAATCGATTATAAATGTTTTCGCTCAAGCGATGGATGTCTCGCTTGAGCGAGAATTGACAACGGTCCAACGCAGTTACCCAATCAATTCTCGCTCGAGCGAAGTAACTCATCGCTTGAGCGAGAATTGACCACAGGCTAAACGTCCAACGTAGTTAGCCACATAACGCAACTTGGGTCACCACATATTTTAATCACTTCTCGCTCAAGCGAAAATACCCGTCGCTTGAGCGAGAATTGACCGGAGATTACCCCTTTGTTACAGATTTCCTCGCTCAAGCGAAGGGTTTCTTCGCTTGAGCGAGAGTTGATTGCGCGAAATAATCGATCATAATATAAAATAATCGATTATTTTAATACGTGAACAGTAAAAAGTGCTAGTTGTGTAAATAATGTTCTAGATGTGCTATTTTAGAAAATATTTTTAAAAATAGTATTATTTATGAAAAAAGTCATGAATGTAATGTGAAGTGGGGCAATTCAATTAAAATCAATCTACACATGTAGAACAAGAAATAGGGATATTGACGGATATTGAAAATTAATATTATGGAGT